CCCGCTACATAAAAAAAAAAAAAAAGGGGGGGAAAAAAAAAAAAGCCCTGCAATCACTGGCTCCTGCCAGGGCCAGGGGGAGGGGGGGCAATCCCTGCTGCCCCCCACTGCCCCATGCTGTGTGGGGGAGCTCTGCCACGAGTCCCCAACCCCACCGATAGCCGCTGCAGCGGCCGATGAGTGCGGGGCTTTTTTTTAAAGAGCTGGGATGCTGGGGCTGGGCGAGGCTGCCATTGACAGGACTGGGAGAGCAGGTGGGGGATGAGGCCTATTTGATTCGGAGATTTGCCCAATTTGGCGGTGGCCAAATCTCCAAATCAGATTTGGCTAATCAATTTGGGACAGTGATTCAAATCACTGAATCAAAACACTGTTCTCTGAATCGGCCAAATCCAAATCTGATGCGAATACTAGCCGCTTTGCAGTCCTAGCATATTTCCATTTTAATTTTTAAAAAAGAAAATTGAATTTTATTTCACAAATTTTGGTTCTTTTAAATTTTGGTTTATTTCAAATTTTGGTTCTTCTCTAAATGTTCTTTTAAAGACTCAGTAACAGTAAAATAATTTTACATTTGAAATACAGATTTAACTTTTTTCAATTTGTCTAGTTGGATAAACTCATGACGTGAGTTGCATAATTGTATTCACACTGGCTTCATCAACATGAGACACTATCACGGAGTAGCTTGTTGCTATTGCGCAGTAGTGTTGGGGGTACTAACTGTGATGCGATGCTACTGCACATAGCATCAGAAAAAAACCGTGCAGGGATGCTGCTGTGCAGTAATGCTGGTTACTGTGCAGTCATTTAGTACCTGGTTATGCAAGTACTAAATAACTGTACAGTAACAACTGTGCAGTGCACTGCTCATGTAGACATGGCCACTGAATAGTTATGTTGGAACACTGCAAAACCTATCCAAATGGTACTAAACAAAAGCCCTTCCTGGGATCTGGAAATATTTAGTGTTGTAATCTAACCTTTACTGAAGATACGCTGTGCATATCAATCTATAAAACATACCCAGTAAGTAGGGACCTACCAAATTAATGGCAAAAGTGGGGTGGGCTGTGGCTCCTTTAATTTTGCAGGTTCCCCCCTTCCCACTGATTGGTGTAGGGGCCCTGCTTGCAGCTTGCTCCTGATCAGCGGGGAGGTGAAAACTGAGGTTTTAAATATGGTGCCATTTTTACCTCCCCTCCCGATTGGCTGAGGGGCCCCGAATGGCCTTGCTGCTGACTGGTGGGGAGGCAAGAACAGTGCCATGTTTAAACCCGCAGTTTTACCTTCCCTGCTGATCAAGGAATGATGGGTTCCTCCACTAATCAGCAGCAGATGGGGGGGGGGGGGGGGGGGGGAGAGGGCTCAGCGTGGGGTGCTAATCAGCAGCAGATGGGGGGGGGGGAAGGGGGGGAAACGGACAAGGTACGTATGTGGGAACATGCAAGACTAAAGGAGCCACTGTGCAATCTATTTCCACCGTGAATTCGGTAGGTCCCTACCAGTAAGTAACGCTTTAAAGCCTAGTATTCTGATCAATTTTACTTCCTGGTTCTGCTTTTGCACATAGTATTAGCATATTGGCAAAAATAACTTTTCCTTCCCCCAAGAGAACATCGGGTAGCAAAGGCTATTTCCATGTTTCTACCCACTAGTGTCTTTGGATCTGACCCTATATTATTGGCACAGGCAAAATTCAGAGATTCTACTGAAAGTTTTGGTGGTAGAAGCACAGAATTAGATTGCTAGTGTTTGTAAGGCAGTGTCTGATTTTTTTGATTACTCACAGTAAGATCCTAGTCACTTAGGACACCTATAATACATGTGCAGGGAGGCTGCTCCGATGCACTTTAATTGCAGTGCATCAGAGCAAAATCAATTGAGTTGGCTGGAGTGTCCAGCAGACTCCAGCATCATGTGTGTGTGTCCCTGTGCTGAAAAATAGTGCTAGGGGTGCTTTAACTAAAGAAAGAGCCCCTGCCACTTTTCAATGTGGAGATGCCGATACATGTGAGGCTTTGAGAGCTGCTTTAATTAAAGCACCCCCACTCCCAGAACACATCTATAAATGCCCTTAAATGCTGCATACAGTAACTTTTGTTTTAAAAGAGGCTTTAACTCAGCAAGCTATTAATGCCTAGTCACTTTTACAGAGGTTATAGTCAAAAGACAAGTCTTTTTCCATTTGAAGTATTCTTTGCATACATTTTGTCATGAGTTCTGTTAAAATAGTATTGGTCAAGGACAGCGTTAAAAAAAAAAATCAGCGGGAAAAAATAAGGCCTTGGTTTTTAGGTTTTTTGGGGGGCTATCCAGTTTCCAAACTTTCCTTTCTAAAACTGAGAAAGAGAAACCTTTTTCCTCATTATTTCTTTTCTGGGAATGAACTTTCCTTAGTTCTCTAAGGCTTAGGCAGGAAGTTTCAGTTTGATTAAGAGGTTCCAGGGCTGGGTTATGCTCCTTTTATAACTTCACCCAGATATCTGTTGCCAAAACTGGACTGAAAAAATAAATTCCTAACAAAAATTGTTTAGCTGCATTGTCTTATTTCAACAGCTTAGTCTGTAGATGGACCCAGAAGGCTAGGGTCTATTTGATCCATCTTTTAAATCCCTGTGATGGGCAGACCTAGTTCAAATTTCTTGGGTTTCAAACATGTAAAATGACAAATGTATCCCGGCAAAGACACCTCTTCCAGAACACTGGCACATGTGAAACAGGATCCAAGTACCTGTCTAGACTTAGAGCCCCCATTCTCTATCAAGAACAGGGGACCATGGATTGGCAGCATTCTGACACAGCTCCTCTTGTATATAGCTCCTGAGAAGTTCCTTTACAGACAGAAGCAGTGTTTGGTACTGCTCTGCCATGCTGGAAAAAGAGGGACAGAAATTTGGTGGGTGATCCCATTTGAGAAATGTTCCCTGTAAATATTGTATAGATGAAGGGCAGGTGGTGAATAAATCTATTTGTACTGACACATGGTTTTGAAAACCAGTGCAGTAAATTATGAAACAAGAGTGTGCATTATGGGAAGACTTGTGATATTTAAAAAAAATATTTCCATCTGCCACGTTCCCTATAAAAAGTATGTATCTCTGTTAATTTTTTGAGGTGGGGGGGTAGGGGGTAGAAGGTAGCATAGCTTGCATTTCAACACAGTTGGTATTCCTTGCTTTATTCTATGTACAAATGGCTTCTGTTTCCTCTCATTTTGCTAATGGTACATGGCTATCTTTATTACATAAGACATGCAACCACACCCACATTGGGCTAAATCCAGATCCCTCTGAGATGATAAAGTGTTTTGCCATTATTTTCAATGGGAGAAGGATTCACCATGCAAAACATCCAGGAAATTTCTCATTGTTGCAGCTGCTAGAGTAGGGTTGTAAAACTGGTCTAGCCCCTTGAGCTGGATGAGTTGTGCAGAACCAGTCCATGGGCCTGATAAATGGTACAGGCCTGGGCTCACGGGCTGGATTGGGTCCACAAATCACCCTCCCCTCCATGCTGGATCCAGCACATGCAAGTCCTTTTCTGGCTAGTCTGGGACACAGCAGGAAGAAGCCTGGCATCCTGGATGTCCGGCCACTGCAGGAAAAAGCTGCATGCTGTTGGGGTTCCAGCACCACTGCTCTCCCCCAGGTGCCAAAGAAGCCAACATTTGTGGGCCAAATAATCTAGCTCTCTGGGCTGCATATGGCCTGCAGGCCACAACTGACACCACTGCCTTAGAGTAAACAAAGGCATGTCTACATTGTCCCTGTGCCATATCCAGGTGTGTGGACATGCAGCTCATTTCTGCTCCAGCTGGACCAATGCTGGAATATATGGTAGTTCTGAAGCAGCATTAAGTGCTTGGCCCAGCTCCACTCCTAGGCTCTTTGTCTTGCACGTGTTTCCTGGCACATGTTCAACGGTGTTTGAAAACAGCTACACTGTCTCATTTCTGGAATTTGGTGTATGTGGAGCTGGAGTGAGTGGGCAGAGCATGCTTCACAGCAATGTCCATGGACTCAGCATGGAGGCAGGGGATATATGCATTTAGTCAGATAGTGCTCTTGTGATGACTTAGGAAAAGTGTACTTAAGTTTGAAGAGTAATCTATCCCTGAAGGATACCCAATTGAAGCATTCTAGTTGGAGAGGTCTCTGCTTCTCTTTAGCAACGAGCATATATTCCAAACAAAATCCTACCCCCCTCCAAGAAAAGCTTTTATAAATATATGCTCAATTATACCCCAAAATACTCCAACCAAAAATCGGAAATAATTTTATACAGAAATTTATTGTGCAGAGGAATGATTTTCATTTCTCATTTACAATGGGATATTCAGGTCTGACATACAGTCACGCCACTGTTTAAAGTCCAGAACTACACAGAATATTTACATTCAAGTTTATACATTTATTCAAGTTCCATATTCGAGACAATCAAAACATATTACTAAGAATCTGTCTTCAACTCCAAAAATTTAAATTCTTTATCGAAGTCTATAAGAAATTTGTGGAAAATGGATGATTTCCTTTTCCTATGGTACCCATTATCTCCCAGTTCTTACTGGAAAAGAAAACCAACTTGAAGAAATTAATGTCTCAAAATACTTTTAGCTTTCCTATGTCAAATTTAGCCAGGCATTTCCAACTTGTTAAGCAGAAAACCTGACTGACTCCACATATAGGTGATACTCTCTAAGAGGAGGTTCATCTATGACATTATTGCAAATAATGCCTTGAGATACTGGATGTTGGGAAACTTCATACTTCTGGAATTAAAAAAAAAAAAAAAAAGAACATTGTACAAATGTTAATATTAAAATGAAATGATAATACCTGAACCAGATATAATAATTTATTTTTACCATAGTGTGGCTACAATGCAGCAACAAAATCCAGCATTTTTAAATAAAAAAATATGTTGTACAATAAAAAAAACATTCAGTAGTTCAAATAGATGAAAAACATTTAGCATACTAAAATCCAAAACATATTGTTTCCGGTGCTTTTTTCCTCTCCAGACTTATAACAGCTAGATAGAGTATTATATGCACTTACTTCAGACTACTACTTATTTCGATAATATTTTTTAAATCTGCTCATGAATCTCTTGCTTATTCAAGAAAGGTAGCTGAATTTAGGTTTCTTCATTACTTTCCAGTTTTACTTTTAATGAACTAACTAACATGAAAGAGCATCATCAGTCCCAGATGTAGTTCTGAGTTATATTTTGATCCAGCCCTGCTGAAGAGTGAGATTAAAAAAAATGTAAAGTTTCTGCTTACTTCATCAATTCTTTGGAATGTCTACTACTTAAACTATTCTTTCAGATCAATGATCTGAAAGAATCAAATCTTCTGCTCAGATTTCAGAGGGGATAATAATTAAAAAAATTAAAAAGTACTTGCCAAAAAAACACTGCCCTGGCTATCACAAAATAGGTGGACAAAGTGATTGTCTCAAATCTAGCTACCCTTAATACTTTGGAAAATTATTGATTTTGAAGAGGCAAAGCTAACCATTCTCACACTTCGAAGAGATCATTTTACACTTAGCAGAGCCATTTAATTTTTTCTGGCTTCATGTTGTGACATCTCCTCCAGCACTTGTGGACTGAAAGAGAACGGTAGATGACTGCACTGGTACCATTTCTAATTCAGATTCACGTACAAAGATCACAGCATCCCCACTTACATTTACTAGACACTGGGCCTGCAAAAACAGATGAGACAATATATTGTTACAAAACATGCAATTAAAAAAAGAAGTCTATTAATTATGGGATCTATTTTAAGCCAGTGAACTATCAATAAAATCAATTAAACTCCTATACCAAATGTCTTGTGGGTCATTCCAAAATGTTAACTCTAAGCCTAAAAAACAACCCGCCCCGCCCCACACTTTTGTGGAGTTAGTTTATATCCCCTAGATCTGTGAAGTGTCATACCTCACAATTCACTTAGTTTTTTTTCTTAATTAGCTAGTATACCCCCCACAGTCGTGTAAATATAAATGATACATATATTTCAAGAAATGAGCATGTTCTTAGTTTCTTGAAAATGGCATAGGTATAGTACTATTCAATTAATAACATTCTTAAGAACAATATTTTGATATATGAGAACCCCTAACTTTATCTGAAAATAATGTAATTTATTTATTAACTTTACATCATTTCAATACTTATATACAGACCACACTATTCTACTCTTCACATTTTAAATGAACTGAAAAAGGAAATAGCATAAACTGCACTATAAAACTTATTTTGCATATGTAAAGAATGGTACTGCATCTCTCAAATGTGCTCTATAAGGTAATGAAAATATTATTAACAAGCAAGTCATTTCTAACTGTTCTCTCACACCTATCAATGAAGTTTCATAACTATAACAACTTTTTGTCCTTCAGGAAAACTGAATTAATTAGTTACAATAATCTCAAATAATTACATTTTACTAAATGTCTTCATACACTAAACTGCAAAAGCACTTTTTAGACTTTCTTCTATTTTTCCACACTATATGTAAATATTCTATAAAATGGAAGCAAACAAATTTAATTACAGTTAAATTTGGATATCATTCCTCTTTATATCACATGTGATCTATTATCACAACTTCCATCATCAGTAGCTGACTTCCACACACATTAATAATACCTCCCCTTGCTTTGTTTATTGCTACTCGGGACCAACCACTTAAATGTCAACAACATCTGCTATCTCTACTGGGTAAATTTATCACTTAGGCCCCTAGCCTGCATTATGCTTAAGATGTAATTAACTGGTTAATCACATCTTATGTTGTGACCTGGCCACCCATTAAAGCAATTAATAGTGTCATAAAACAAGGAATAAGGCACAAAGTTATTCGACAAAAAATGTGTAATAACTTTGTGGCTGGTTCCTATCATGCCATTAATTGAATGTGTAGCCAGGTGTGCCGCATCAACAGTTCTGAGGCGGCACTATGTGGTCCCATGGCAGGGAGTCACATCAAATGATCCGGGATTCTAGCCACGGGGGTACACCATAGAATCACAGAGAAGTAAAGCTGGAAGGGACCTCCAGATGTCATCTAGTCTGCATGGGGCAGGATCATCCCTATTCAAACCATCATCTAAACTCTACAAAAGACTACCCCCAAGCCTGACACAACACAGATAAAACCGGGGAGCCACGGCAGCCAATGTCCTGCTTCTGTGAAATCTTATCAATACATGCTCAAGAGATCCCAGGTAGAGGGCCATGTCCCCTGCTACAGAGGAAGGCAAAAACCCCACAGTCCATACCAATCTGACCAGGGGGTAAAAATCCTTCCTGACTCCAAATATGGCGATTGGTCTGACCCTGAGTGGAGGGGCAAGACTACCTAGCCAGAGACCTCCAGCTTAGGTCCCAGTAGGAGCACTGGCACACCCCAGTCAAAATATCCAGCCTTAACTGTAACCAACACTCAATGCATCTGAGAGAGGCTTCAAAACAGCTTGACCTGTAGCAGAAAGAAGCAACCAGCAAAGCCCAGAAACATGGGAAATACCCATGGCAGAATATAAACATAGCTATGCCTGGATCATCTCTGACCAGTGGCTGTCCAACCTCTTCTTGAACACCTCCAGTGATAGATAGCCCACAACTTCCCTAGGCAGTCTATTTCACTATATCACTATTCTCAGAATAAAGAAGTATTTCCAGAAATTCAGCATAAACTTACTTTGTGCAACCTCAAGCCATTGGTTTGCATCCTCCTCTTTGCTACAAGAGAGAAAAGGTGCTTTCCCTCTTCTTTATGGCAGCCCCTCAAGTATTTGAAACCTGCTATCATGTCCCCTCTTAAGCACCTCTTTCACAAGCTGAACATGCCTAGTTCCTTCAGCCTTTCCTCATATGATTTTCTTTCCAAGTCCTTGATCATCTTTGTTGCCCACCTCTGAACCTTAGCTTCTTCATATCTTTTTAAAATGTGGAGCCCAGAATTACACACACTACTCCAGATGAAGCCTAACTAGTGCCAAGTAGAGAGGCACTATCATCTCCTATATCGTGCACCTAATGCTTCTACTGATGCATCCAAAACTGCATTTTCCTTTTGTGGGGCTGAATCACGGAGTCTATCAAGATTCCCACATCCTTTTCCATAAAGCTGCCATCCAGCCAGATGTCATCCATTTTATATTAGTGTTTTTGATTATTCCTCTCAATGTGTAGCATCTTGCATTTGTCCAAACTGAACTTCATCCTGTTAGCTCTAGCCCAAATTTGCAATCTGTTGAGCTGCTTCTGAATTGCACTAGCACCCTCCAGTGGTTTGCAATCCTTCCCAGTTTCTCATGTTGTCTGCAAATCTGTTCAAGAACCTTCGTATGCCAGAATCCAAATTATTAATAAATATGTTGAAAAGCATTGGGCCAAGGGCCCCTGTGGGATTCCACTCAAAATCTCCTCACATTCTGACATGGACTTGTTAATAATTACCCTTTGCTCGCAGCTACTGAGCCAGTTATCTATCCACCTTGTTGTAGTTTTTTCTATCCCACATTTCTCCAGATGTCCAGGTAAAGGTGCGATGGGATCTGATGTGCAATCTACACAGACATGCCTACTTCTGTGTCTATGTCTGATTTAACTGGACTGATTAAAACAACAATCTGATATAGACCCTTCTGTTATGACTGGTTTTATGTGAGACCAGCTGATGATTATTAATTAAGCCAGAAGAACCATCTTTTTAATCATATCTTACCTGATTTTTGTTTGGATTCTCCATAAAAACACACTGCTTCATTATATATGAAACAACTGCATTCCCCCCTAAGGCTGCAACATGAGCTCTCACCATTGCAAACACTTCAGCAATGAAAGCATGAAGAAAGCCACTGACACCGCCCTCCTGAAAAGCAAATAAATACTGCACAATAAAAAATGTCACTGCATATCTTACTTGCGTTTCTCTTTCATATTATTCAATTCTAAAAATTCTACCTAAGAAATATTTGAGAGTTTCTTCTTCCCCATAGAAAGTGCCTTGTAAAATTACACTTCAGGATAGAAGTAAAGACTGAACTTAAACACCAATCTAAGAATTATACATCATCTTAAAGATGAAAGAACCTCTGCTTAAAACCAAATGAATAGAACACATTACAAAAGTAAAAAAGAAAGAGAATGAACTGAGAATGAAAATAAAGAAATTTAGTTACAGGTGAATATTCTAAGTTATTACTTGATTATACCCACACCTTTATGACACTCCTGCATGCCTTTCCAGAATCTTCTAGACCAGGAATATCAAAGTTACTTGGCCCTCCCCCAGCCCAGATCCAGACTGCAGGCATCCTTATGGGACATATCTGGACCCACCTCCATCAATGGGGTGAGCATCATCTGAGTCATGATGGTTAATGCAGCCATCAACTGCCCTGCCATTGCCCAAATGCATCCTCAAATCGGGCTATATACCCTGGATTTTGGCAGTGGGCCTCATCCTAGAGCTCCTGCTCCCTCCAGGAGCCCTACTGGCCATCTCTGCAGGCTGTATTTTTGACGCCCCTGCTTTAGACCATTCTAGCTAGATCTGGTAGGAAGCAAAACATTTATATCTAGACTGTTTAATCTCAATGCTAAGAATGGACCTATTTTTATAACCCACATGCAGAAAATCAGTAGAGAGGTTAGGAACCAGAACCATATATTAAAATGATGGTTAAGAGAGAAAGGCCAATTTTTTTGCAATATTTCCATGCATAAAGCTAGCTGTAGTCAGAAGCCAAACAACAAACACCAATTTAGTATTACATATTGATTATGCCCTGTCAAAAGTCAAAATGAATGTTATTACTAAATCTGATACAAAAGATCAGAGTAATGATCATTTTGAGATTAAAAATCTAATGATGCAAAGAAAAAGGAACAGTTTAGGACAATGAATATGTAGATGGCAACAGGAGAAATTAGACAATATGGCATCCAATATGGCACCTACAGCTTTTGCAAAGAATTTTTTTGCAAGCAATTTACTTATTTTGCCATATGCTGGAAATGCTTTATATTTACAGAACCTCTGAAACTGTTAACAGGTTTCAAGACCACTTGAGAGTCCATAAAAGCAAGTGTCATAAGGTAGGAGCTTTTGTGTAGGATTCTCTCTCTCCATATATGTACAGACCTATATCTATATATCTCGGCATACGCATTTTCAATTGTTGCAAATCTTCCACTGTATTACAGCACACCAGAGGGCAGTGTGTTAGATACCACGCAAATAGAATTTAAACTAGAATTTAAAATTGTGAAGAATTCAGAAGGAGGACATTCAATTTCAAAAGTGACAGATTAAGAATATGGTTATGTACTATAAATACAGCTTGTGTAGCAGAATTAGCAGTGTAACTTCAGCAGTACAGATCCCACCACGATCTGCAAAAGGTGTCCAAACAGCCCAGAGAATTACTCAGTTGTTTAGCCAGTGAGACCCACACTCGTGCAGCTAGCGGCATCCAAGTTTAAAGCTATTTTCATTTCTCCGGAAGCTACAGACAATAGAAATTACAGCGTAGACATCGCCTCAGTCGAATCGGCTTTTTATAAGTGACAGTTTTCAGGTAAAAACTTAAAAAATTTACGAATCAGAGGATCTCATAACTTGCAAGACTCAAACGAAGTCAAAGCTTCTACAGGACAGCTATTAACGGTGAGCTGCTTTTGACATCTGAACCAATATCAACTGTGCAGTTGAAAGGATTTTCAAGAGCCATTCTCCATCTGCTCACTTTAACTTTATCTGGGGCCCTTGTAGTGTTGGTCTTAAATCCAAAACAGCCATCAAAAAACAAATGGCCCCATTAGTTATAAAAATATCTGCTCTTTTATCATGTAATATTTTCCCACTGGCTACATACTTTCTAACAATTTCAGAGATAAAACAACAACAATGGCATTTTCAGAACACAGGAGCAGCAAATACTCCCACCCACTTAACACACAGCCAAGTTTTGAAAAAATAATTCTTTTCCTGTGCCATGTGGCTAACTACAAGTGGGTCTCTAAAGACATTAAGCTATGGAAGCTCATTTGGCTTTATTAGTCTAAATTTTCAAAAAAGTGTAAAGCCCTGATATGCTGCTCACCTCACGTAAAGAAGTGGTTTCTCGTATAAAAAACATGTTGATTATTCCAAGATATTTGGTAATTTTTGCCCCCGGTATAAAAGAAAGAGGTGTCATCTTAACAACTGTGACGGTAGAATTGGTAGAGCATGGAACAGAACGGTGACGTGCGTGTCCCTCAGCCAGCGGGCTTGCTTTGTCAAGTGAAGCAACTAAAAAGGAGGCAAAGAAAGAAAAGAAAAAGAAAGTAACTATTGAGTAAGATCAATGATTTGTTCTTATAACAAAACACAACTCTTCTTTATGGGTTCGATATAGCTTGGTGACAACATTCAGCTGCCTGTGATGCTCAGCCATGTCATGAAAGGAAATCATCATGCAGCGCATGCAAAAAGAGACAAAAAGCTGGAGTGGAAAGTACTGGG